TGTGTCTGTGTGAGTGTGTGTCTGTGTGTGTGTCTGTGTGTGTGTCTGTGTGTGTGTGTGTGTGTGTGTGTGTTTGTACTCACACTCCTCCTCTTTGGGGTCGAGTTGAGTGACGCTGATTGACAGGCGGTCGACTCTCTCCTGAAGCGAATTCACTCGAAATGAGAAAGAATGAGCTTCATTAAAGAGCTCGCCGAACAAATCCTCCGCATATTTACCTGAACACACACAAAACACCCCAAAACAAAAGAAAAAATACATTATTTTCATGAGAATTAACCTCAGTTTTAGTTCTTCTCATGATTCTCTGGTGTGATTCTTATTACTGAAATAAAATGAGATTTTATTAAAATCAGCATCAATTTAAGGCAGTTCAACAATGATGAATACATATACATAATATAAGCTAGCAAGTTTGATAAAATAATAAAACTTCGTAAACAAAAAGTTATAAAAAAGTTAACAGCATATATAAATAAAATACATAGAATAATTTTTTTAAATTATTTTTAAATAATTATTTTTAATTTTTTTAAATTATTCTTAAATATTATTTTTCAAATACATAGAATTATTTATTTATATAATATACAAATATATAAAGTATGCAATATAAAATAAATAAATATAAAATCATAAAGTAATCATAAAGTTTTTAAAAATTTCCTTTTTTTAGATTTTTGCAATTCAACAAATATTACCATGATGAATAATTACTTTACGATTACAAAGTTAACAACTTGTATAATAAATGTATATAGAGAGAGAAATTATAAAAATAAAAAAATGAGAAAAATAAACAATTAAATATTTATATATAATAATGTATTATATATAATATACAAATATATTATGTATATACTATAAAGAATAATAAAAATAATGATATAAAAAGTAATAAAGTTAATAATATAAATAAAATAATAAAAAGTATACATTATTTTTATGCAAAATATAAATTCTCTTTTTCTTTAGACAAATGTTACCATGATTAATAAATATTTTACAATTTAAAATACAAGAACAACTTATATATGTAGAGAGAGATTAATAATACAATTTGTAAATATTAATAATAAATAAATAAAGATGTTTTAAATATATTAATAAAGATATTCCTTTTAATTTTGGGTTGAAATGTGATCTGGACAAATGTGTTTTATCCAAATGTACAGAGTACAGTGAGCAGATACAGTATTGTAGGGCATTGCAGATGTGCCACTGTACAACATCTAAAGTGCTCGAGTGTGTATTTAGAGAGACAGAAGAGCATGTTTGTGGAGAGCTGGACTCACTCAGGCTGCTCAGCTGACGGATCACGTTGGCCAGAGAGATGTTGGTCACACACTCCAGCTCGTTCTTGATGCTGTGTGGCAGAGCTGTGTGACACAGGTGACGAGGCTCGATACTGCGCTTGACCAGCGGCATCCTGACGCTCTCGCTCGCTCACCACACCTGACAGAGAGAGAGAGAG